AATATGATGCCTGTGTGTTTTCCCCTGGAAATGTAAACATCTGTATACCAAACTGAAGCCTCCAGATTTTAGTTACCTTATAGACTTCTTAAGTGTTGTCCAAGGACTGTGAGGTGAAGGCCAGTGCTTGAGAGGGATCCTCATGCAGAAGCCAGCAGGTCAGCTGTAACTCTGGACTCTTGTTCAGTTACCTTTTTGCTGTTGAGGTACATTCAGCTCTTCTCACTCTTTAACATTCTAAGTTCAGAGGTCCCTGAACTTTACATTTCCTGTCTTCAGGAAAAACGAGAGGTACCCACACTTCATTCTCACAAATGGCAAATGATTGATCTGCAGCACTTGGCCCCAGGGGAGTTAATTAGCTTTACAAATGTAAGAGGATGCCAAAGGCCACAAATTATAGCTGAGTCCATGTTTCAAAAGCAAATCCTACTTCAGTAGCAAAACTAGGCGTAGACTGTAGTTCTTTGGTGTCACGATTTCTTTTCTTGCAGTTTTTTTTTTCCATTCATTACACAGACACTACATGAAATCGAAATGTTTGTTGGACCAAGTTACTACATCTCTCTAGTACTTTGGTGTTCTACTATACAGAAACAAGAAACCATGCACACAAATTTAATCTGTTGTACCTGAAAGGACGATTGAACAGGTACCTATCTTGTAGTTAAGGAAGTGTACAGAGCAATTTCATTCTGTGTTCTGAAACTGCACTAGTAAACTTGGGCAGCTTTCAGGTACATTACCTGCAAAATATTAGAAGAAAATCCTAAACATGATATATATCCTTTAGTTGATATAAAGATGATAAAATAATCAATAAAAATATAGAAGACAGACAGAATCTCATAATTATATTCTATATTAGGAAGAAAGTTGGATGATGTAGACACATCTGTGAGGTAATGAAATATTACCTATTGCCAATGAGATTTAGGAAGATGTTTAGTTCTACCCATTAAATAAAACATCCTAGAAGTTGCATAGCTAGAAACTGACAATCAGTAATTTGAAAAGAATTATCTGGCAAGCAGATGGAAGCGATGGGCTTTCTTTTCCAAACAACTTTGAAGTTCTGAATGTGTTACAGGAGACCAGCAAATACTTTTACTAAAAAAGTATTTGCAAAGCAAGTGGGTTCATCCAGGTTGCTGTAAGGCAGTTAACCCAACACTGATGTGGCAAAATCTCAGTGGCACTGACTGGGGTTGCACTCAGCTAAGGAAAGAAACGTACTGCTGTTTGTTTTAATTTGAAGAAAAAGACCTAATTAAAAGAAGTGGATATCCTTCTAGATACCATCTAGGCCTAATGTAGCAAGACCTTAGCTGAACACTACACAGCTGGGTCACTGAAAGGGAAAAGAAAGGCAACAGATAAGAACTATATGATGGAGCCAAGCCTTACTGTGAGACACCTAAACCAGCTCAATTCAATTTAGCTGTTTGGAAAGATGAATACAATGGCTTGATCATGGTCTGTAATTCATTATACAAGAAGAAAGACTTTTTATAGCAGAAGACTTCAATGTACTCAACAAAGGAACAGCAAGACCCTATGGATTAAAAAAAAAAAAAAAAGTAGTAATAGAGCGGCAGTTTCAATAGCAGTGATAACTAACAAAAAAACGGTAATAAGGGACATGGTTGATTAACCATAAGGCTTTAAATTATACAAGTCTTAAATCTTTCTTGAAGACTTAACTGAATTATAGACCAGCAATACTATCATTAGTCACAGCTGAGATTCTGTTACTGTTTGTGGGTGACTTTTCTAAATGATTTCCAGCCTACATGATGTCTCCTTTTAAAGCAATGATGATTTGTAAAATGCAACTAAGAACAGAAAATCAGCTTGGAAAAGGACAAGAAGAAAAAGTGCTATTGCCTTTCAGCAAAGATACAAGATGCAACCTAATACAGAACTCTGGAGTCATTGTTAAGTCTTCTTGGGTGCAAACATATAGAAACAAATGGATCTGCATTACAATGAAAATGCAGGGTCAAAGAATTCATGGAGCTGAAGAAGAAGAACCATGGGATCTTGTTAAGAGAAAATTCCACTCTTGTGAGTGGGAGGTAAATAATTGAACCATTGTTGGCTTGAGTGCACAAAGCCGCAGACTGCAGAACCTCAGGTTTCACCTGAAGAGGGAAGATTTTTGTACAAGTTGTTACATTTTGTGTCTCACAGGTAGCTACTGTACTTTTAAAACCATCTGGAGCACACTGGACATGTTAAACAACCTTGGGAACCCAAAGAGGAAGACCTAATCCAAACTCAAATAAGTGACAAAGATAATGAGGGTAAGGTATCTTCAATTATTGCCACATGCGCAACAGGACTGGGTAAACAGAGAAATTCTCATTCATAAGAAAGAAAAGGAGGCCTTGAATAAAGTGGCATTTCTGAAGCTCAGTGGGAATGTCCCTTAGTAAGAAATAATTAGTTTCCTCCTGGGCAACAGTAAAAGCTATAGGCTCAGCAGCAAACTGCACAAACAGTAACACCTTTGAAATGACTGGTAACAAGAATTGTACAGCCTTAAATACACATGGATGCCCATGCTGCGTAGCAGATTCCAAGAAGGGAAAGGGTAGCAGACATCAGAAAACACCACCTCAAACCAGGGACCAGGAAAGGCATTTTCAAGCATCTTTAACATAGAAAATGAAAAATCACTGCAAAGAATTTTAATGTGTGAGCCATTCCCCAGGGAATTCAACCAGTCAGCAAAATATTATTCTGACTTTTAAAGCCTTCCCAGTTTAATTCAAAACACTGCAGCCAAACCAAGTCATTTTTTAGACTTCAAGATGATGCATTCAAGATGAGAGAACAACTTGAATGAAGCTGGCAGTTTTGTCCTGTCCATGTGGATCATGGACATGCAGAGGAGAGCCACAAGTAGTAATAATACTCTGCTGAGTCTCGTAACTTCCAAGGGGAGCAAAACTATAAACTCAGTTGTCCACGGGAGAAAAAGGAAGAAGGCAGAGGAATATGAATCAAACTCTCCTGTAAGGAGAAACGTAACAGATGGAAAAGGTGAAGACAACAAGACAGCAACCAATATAAATTAGACACTATAAAAATAGAGAAAACTCTTAAGAAAAGCTTTGTGACTAGCAAAACTAGTGGTAAAAGGAAAGGAGTATTTTTCTTTGTTACTCCTTTCAATCACAAAATAAAAAAGGAAATCTTACCAATAGTACTCATCCATGCTAGATAAAAATGGTGAAAATGCTAGTGACACAGAATAGGGGAAACCAGTCAACAAATACTTCCAGTTCCATCTAAAGAAAGGAACAGAATTTAGCAGTCATATGAAAACAGCAACTTCTATCTAGTACCATAGTATCATAGTAGGAGATGAGAGAACACCTACTAGGGATGTATATTTTGAAATCAGCAAAGAAACAGGAGTCCTGAAAGAGTTCAGTAACAAGCTCTTTAGCCCAGTCATTCTGATCTTAATTAAACTTGGGATATTAGAGAAACACCTTAAGACACTCATGACAGTACTCCCAAAAGGCAAATGAAACAGTTCAATGTCAAAATTCAAAATTATGGAAAACCTGTAGAGAGGAAGAATTAGTGAATGAAAAAATAAAACCTGTAACACAAATGTTTTATGAAATACAGATTCTGTAGTAAAAAAAAAAAAAAAAAGAATAGAAGAAAAAGAAAAAACCCTAATTTCATTCTTAGATGATATCATTATACATTTGGTTTAACAAAGGGGACTGCATAGGTGCAACATACTTAGATTTTTATAAGGCATTGACCGAGCACCATAAGTCAGAAATATAAACTGTACATAATCAAATACTAAGAGGATTACGAAATGCCCAGCCTGCAAGTCTCAAAAAGAAGCTAATGAGAAGTTGCACTCAATGATGCTTTTCAAGTTAGCATAGGTCAGATGCAATATTGCATTTCAACCTGGATCTGAAAATAAAAATAACAACTGATACAGTTTGCGGGTGACAGAACTATGAAAGCTGTGAGTAACCTGGTCCATCATCAGCCAGGTCCATTCACATAGGCTGGACTTGGACACAGCCCCACGTGAGGCATCCAGGAAACAAGAACCCAGAGCACACCTGTAGAGAAAACACTTATCATGGAAAGCTGAGACTTTGGATGATCACACTTGACCAGACAAGCAGCCTGTGAGCTCCTGTATAACACCATGAGAAGAGGTAAAACATAATCCTCTGCAGACTTAAGGCAAAGGGCCGGGGGACCTCATCCATGGCACTGGGGCTTCAACACTCAGTCCCGAAGTGAACATGTTTATAAGATACTGAAAAATTTGACAAGATGTAGAAAGAAAAGACAAGAATAATTTGTGGGCTGGAAGAAATCCCTTACAGTGGAAGATTTACAGAATTCTATCTGTTTACCTTGTCAGAAAGTGGATTGATAAGGGACATTAGAGTGTTTAAATGTAAGTCTGGGGGGGAGAAATCCCATTCAGGCTCTCTGAATCAGAAGGATGAATGTTTCCAGAACTAGTAACCAGAAGCCAAAGCAAGGAGAAATCTGGCTTAAATATTTAAACAGTGAAAACATGAAGCCCTTGCAGGCTACCAATGGATTTTGTGTCCCAGTGCCTCAAAATCAAGCCAATGCATTTTGTCAACACAGTTCAAATACACATGAGTTCTTGGGGCTCAATACAGCCTAAATACATTGAAATGTCACCTGTGAAATGCAGGAGTCAAACCAGACAGCTCCATCTAGCTTAACCTATGCACCTACCAAACACTCCACCCGTTTGCAGCCAACCCTGGTGACTGAACAGAGAAAAAGGTTTCTGCCACAGGCTCCCCAGGTGCAGAGCTCCTCACCTTCCTTGTGCAAACGCCAAAGTGCCAAAGGCAGGGGTGTGCTGCCCTCGCGCCTGCCCGCACGGCCCCTCGGGACTCAGGGCAGCCAGAGGCTCCTGCAGGGGTCGGGTGCAGGGGGAAGGAACACACGTCACAGGGGCAGGGTGCTTGCAGCAGCACCTTCAAGGAGCCTTTTACACCAATTTATTTCTATACAGGGTGGTTAAAAAAAAATAAAATAGAAGCCCCTATTGGTTGTTCATACAGAAGTCTGGGATTCTATAGGCTTTGGGTGGGTGACTGATTTTAAAACCCGACAACACATGCTTTTTCCCTTGCCTTCTCATTCTCTTCCAAGTCAGCCTCCATGATCCAAAGAAACTAACAAGTAACACACAAGACTAGCAGTCATGTGGACCAATTAAAAAAAAAAAAGAAAAAAAAAAAAAAGAGGAAGGAGAATTGAAGACGAAGAGAAAGGGAAAAACAAACGAAGATTGAAAATAAAAATTCGCCAGGATAATGCGTTTTATAAACACAGAGATAGAAACAGTTACAGCAAGGACAGAGCGGGCCAGGGGTGGGGAATAGATATTTATATATATATATATATATAAATTCAAGGGGCCTTCAGTTTATTCTTGTTGGCTCCCCCTTCTCATTAGATTGGTCTCTCTGTGGGGATCTTCATCCCCTTCTCTCCACTGTCCAGCTTTTGGGGATTCTCTCCCATTACCAGGGTCCAGAAGAGGCCACCACTGCCATGTGAGTCCAGCCCGTCTTGGCAAGAGGGAGCCTGGGAGAGCACTCTGGCAGGAGATGAACAGGAGAAGCTAGCCTTTCCCTGCCTCCTGCCAGCTCCTTGAAAAGACTGGTCTATTCCTCCTCCTCCTCCTCCTCCTCTTTCCCTTTGGGAAACTGGGGGCAGGACAGGTATGTGAGTGTCAGAACTGCTGTCATTCCACCTTTCAGGAAAGGGAGTAGAGAGAAGGGTGATGATTATTTTGGCAGTCTCTTACTCTCCCTCCAGTTGCTTTTTGGTTTGTTGTTGATGCCTGCAGGCTTTTCTGAGGAGGTGGGGGGAAAAGCAGGAGGGAGAGGAGGAGGTGTACAAGCTGCTAGGATATCATCCACAACAGGCAGGAAGAGCAATGAGCAGGAACCCACATTCCTACGGGGCCATCGTGCTGCTCAGACAGCTGGGAGAGAGAGGCAGCAGTCAGTTCAGACAGACTCCTCTCTATTGCTCTCCACCAGGGGAGGAGAAAGAACGCAATACTCCACAGCCCTTAGGCAGTGTAGGCACCTGTCCATCCCAGAGAACATGCCTCACCTTTCCCCCCTCCACTGGTCTCACCTTCCACTGGGGAGGAGGTTTCTCCCATCCAGTCCCTGGGGCAGGACGAGCGACCCCTCCTCCCTTTCACAAGCAGGAGGGACAGGAATGGATATTTCTCTCTTAGACACTCAAGGCAATCCTCAAAGAACCCCATGCAGCTGTCAACCCTGCCACATTCTTCTGTGGCCTGCTAAAAACATGTGTCCAAGCCCCTGTATATACAAGGGCCATCTCTCCATCCCATCCACCTTGCGTGTCTCAACACGCAACCCCGCTTCGTACACATCCTACAGTGAGAGAGAAGGCAAAACAGGGGCCTTTCTTTGGGTTTCAAAGGAGGGGCTCTTGCATGAGGAAGTGATCCCAGCACAGGAAAGGGGCTCTTGCACAAGGAAGCATCCTCCTACCAGGCAGGCTGTTGCACAGAAGGAGCACCCCCTTGAGACAGGCTGTTGTTCAAGGGGCTGCCATGAACAGGGTTAAACGGCCAGAAGAGGCTGTTGCAGGAGGAGAGGCCGGAAACTGTTGCACGAGGAGGGCCGCTGCATAAGCGGTGCCCCTGGCACAGGCTATGCACAAGAGGCGTTCTGCTCCCTGGGTTGAGGTCTCTCTAGGAGCTGGAGAGGTGCTCCACCTGGATGGCGCTGGTGCTGACAGTGAGGCAGATGTCCTTGTGATGCTCTGAAGTCTTGTAAGGAGTCAGGTCAAAGGAGCATTGGGGGGGAGGGTTGGGTTGGTTAGTGTCTCCAGAAGGGCCCCCTGCTGCCCCCCCGCCCTGCGGCTGGAAGTGCTGCTGCTGCTGCGAGGCCTGGGCTTGTGCCTGAACCACCTGCTGCTGTGGGTCAGGGATGTTGTGTTTCCGCATGTGCTTCATCAGGTACGTCTCCTGCAACGGGAAGAACCGTGTGAGAGGAGGGAACGACGCTCGTGAAAGACGAAGCCAACAGGGAGGGACACGGCAACTCGGGGGACTGCTCCCGTTGGATCTAGAGGAGCTGCTCCCTGGGAAGTCTGACCACTTCTGCTACCCCCCCAGGACAGCAAACACTCACCGAGGTGTAGGCCCGGCTGCAGATGGAGCAGGTGTAGACCTTGGCGTGTTTCACCGTGTGCGTAGCCAGGTGTACCTCCAACGAGGCAGCATCCGTGTACGCACGGTGGCAGTTGTGGCACTTGAAAGGTTTGTCTTTGTTGTGCTGCCGTCTGTGGGACTGGAGGGCGGCAGCAGCAGAGAGCAGAGAAAGCAAGGGTGACGAAGGAATAAAGTGTTAATACTGGAGATGGCTTTACCTCAAACACTCCCTTCAAGCCAGGCCCCAAGCTCCTGAAGAAAGCACACCTGGCTTCTAGCAAAGGGACAAAACTTCTCCCTCCAGGCCACCACACCTTCCCCACACATGCCCTTTCCTGTCATGCATATTAGGCATTGAAGAGCAGAGACTCTCAATGCTCCACAACCCCCATCTCCTCAGCTTCCATGCAACTCTCAGTTTCCTGGTCTCTCCTTTTCTGCCCCCCTATACATCTGCTCCCTGCATCCAACACCTTCAGGGCAGGATTTGCTTTAACTTCTTGCAGGTGTTTATAGCTCTTTGCTCTTTGGCACACTCTACAGTCCTCCACCTCCAGGGTACCACCACAGGACACACCATCTTCCCTATATCCCTACCCTTACACCCTCAATTTCATTGTAAAACGAACAAAAAACCCACCCAGATACACAGACTTCATTGGGTGTAACATTCTGCAAAAGTCTTGCCCCAGCTAAGTTAGAAAACTGCAAGACAGATGGGAGGAACTTCACTAAGGTCTCACTGCTTCCAAATCAATAATTTCACATAATGCAACTGTTTATGTGACTTCTTTGGGCCACTAGTGCCACAAGTCAGGAATCCCTTCCCAGAGCTTTGATAGCTTTCTGTATTCTTTTATTCTCCTCCCAGCTGCCCCACTTGGTTCCACCTCCTTTACTACAAGCACCTTGCCAACCCCTGCTGGCTAGTAGGACACACCCAGCCCCTTACCTGCAAGTTGGAAAGCTGGGTGAAAGCCTTTTCACACCCAGGGTGAGCACATTTGTAGGGTCGGTCCCCGGTGTGGATACTGTTGAGGAAAGAGCACAAATGGGAGGCAGTGAGCAGGCAGACAGAGCAGACTGCCAGGGCCTGCTGCTGCTGTGTGAACGGGAAGATGCTGCCTCCAGATGCTGCTCTAGCTGGACAAAGAGAGCTCTGCCCAGCTCCCTTGTCCAGGTAGAAGTTGGAGAAGACAGGCAGTCAAGCAGATTTCAGAGTGACTAGGATTGAGGAGCAAGAGCTTATGAATGGCTGGACAGCTCAGCATGTGAGCTACCTAAAAATGTATTAGGAAGGGGTCAGGAGGCCTAGACTCCCTGCTCCAAGCTCAGGAATCCCAAATGACCAACCAAGAGGAATCTGTTCTCTTGCTTCCACAGTACCAAGAAAGCAGCTCTGTTCCCTCCAGGATAGACACACCAACACTTTTCCTTTTAAGTAACAGGCTGAGTTTACCTACAGTTAATCTGTCCCTGTCCCCCTGCAATGCCAGGAGCAGCTTCCACACACTCAGGCCAACCCCCGTGGTGCCAGGCTGGGATCCCCTACAGCCAATGCCTCTCTCTCTATCGCTCTCTCTCTCTGTGCCGCCCGCGGTGCAAGACCAAGGATCCCCAGGGACAGCACGTGCCCACCTCAGCCCTGACGTGGTCAGTGTCTCCTGCGCAGCCTCCACTCCGTCCACTCAGGTGGGTCACCTCCTTCTGGGGGTGCAGCCGGCCGCATTCCCCGCCCGCCCCCCGCATGCTTGGCGCGCGTGCTCCAGAGGTGCATGCCGGCAGCGCGGGGGGACCAGGGCCAGGCCCCCAGCCTCCTCTGGCCCTTACCGTGTGTGCTGCTGCAGGTGGGAGAGCTGGCGGAAGGCCTTCTGGCAGTAGCGGCAGGTGTAGGGCTTGGCCCCCGAGTGGATGCGGAGGTGCTGGGCCAGGTAGGATGTGTTGGCGAAGCTCTTGGAGCAGTGAGGACACTTGTGCGGCTTGACAATCGCCGTGTGGAGCTTGGAGTGGATCCTGCCGAAGAGGAGGAGGAGCAGCAGCAGTTGGACATGACCGCCATCTGGCTAGTGCTGATGGAATGAGGGCACAAAGGGGGTGGGACAGCACCACGCTATCTGCTACACGAAGGAACTCCAAACACAGCATGAGCTCTCTTGGTCTCAAACCGTGCTCCCCTTGGATTCAAGAGACCATGGTCTGTCCGCACCGGGGGAGGATCCAGAGAGAGGAACTATAGAGCTTGGACTGAGGGGCATTGGCAGAGCTGTGTGTGGGAAGCCTACGGCTGAAATAGCAGGGGGGCTGCAAGCCTGGACTTGAGATGTTTGGCAGAACTATGCTGGGGTGACAGGGAACAGTCCTCCTACGCCCACTCTACTCTCACACTGACACAACCAGCCCTACCTCCTGTCAGAAAGCGTCACTCGGCTGCTGACACCTCTCCGGCAGAGCAGCGCTAACCTGAGCGCACCCAGCCCCTCACAGCCAGGGACTGATCTCACGTGTCCGATACCGCTACTGCCGGCCTGACGTGCGCAAGACCTGACCAGCCTGTGACACGCAGCCGGGTCTCCCCAGGCAGGCGCCCACTGAGGTGCTCACAGCATGCTGGGATGACAGCAACATGCAGTGCGGAGGGCCCCAGCCTCCTCTGGCCCTTACCGTGTGTGCTGCTGCAGGTGGGAGAGCTGGCGGAAGGCCTTCTGGCAGTAGCTGCACGTGTAGGGCTTGGCCCCTGAGTGGATACGAATGTGCTGGGCCAGGTAGGAGCTGTTGGCGAAGCTCTTGGAGCAGTGAGGACACTTGTGTGGCTTTGTCTCCGTATGGGACTTGGAGTGGATCTGCATCTCCGACTTGGAGTAGAAGGTCAGCGAACACATCCGGCACCTGGGACCGGGGCGAGGGGAAGAGACAGTGTCACATGGGGGTAAGCCCCAGTATGGATCAGCTCAAACTGGATGGGATCTTCCACACTGAGTGAAGGGGCTTTTTCCCACTATGTGGTACTGGGGAGGTTTCACCCGGGACACTGCTTGGCTGTGAGTGCTCCAGTCCCAGGGGGACAAATTTAAGCTGGGAACTGGTGTAACAGAACAAACAATACTTCACACAGCCAGACAAGTAAAGGCGTTGGAAGAAACCAACTGGCTTGCATGAGAGACAGGGCAGCACTTTGGAAATTTTCCAACAGCAATCCTAAGGGGATAGGAATAATTCCCAGACAAAACCCCCACTTTGTAAATCTATGATTTATTTCAGTCAAAAAAACCTTGGAATACCTGGAAATCCCAGGTTATAGTTTGTATTAGAAGTTAATTCCATGTACTGTGAAGTCTGTGAGAGTAGTAATGGCCAAATCCACTTAACTCTGCTCCCATTTTTAGAGAAGACACTCATATATTTAGGATACAAAATGCAGAGAGTAACAGCAGTGCTGCTTTCCTAGTGGGCCTCACACGGATACTCTGGATCTCAAATGTGGTACTTCATTGGTCTAGTGGGCTTTCATCATTTCAGTCTCACTGATGTGATGCAAAATGTTTTGTCTGGGCGTTTGGATCCATCTGTTCCCATAATGATCAGAAATGTATTTGTTAACACACAGACTCTGAACAAGAAGAAGCAGTTGGCATCGCTCTGCTACGGATGCTGCTGTTAAAAACTGTTCCTCCACCACGACACCAGGCTGTTAAGAGAAGCTCATACTGTTTTACAATTCAAGATGGTAAAAGCTTTTGTGGTTGATAATTTGACAGAGAGGTAAAAGCTGCATCCAAGTTACTCACTTCTTCCCCACCCCCACAATGTGTGTCAAACAAGGGGCAGAGTTAAGGCTTATCTGAATTTAGGTTCTTCATTTACATTAAAGACAAAATACAATCTCCACATGTAACTTCTAAGGTCACATCTGAGAGAAGATGTACCATCCCGAGGAAGTCTGGGTAACATTAATTCAGCTTTCACAGTGATTTTGTCAGGGAATTTCCTTAAGCTTTATAGTGTTTACAAAACTGCTTGGCAACAAAAGTTCGCAGGTATTACAAGCCACAGAGAGCTGATCCTGCTCTTCCCCATATCCATCTCTCCTCAGGAGGCTATTTGCTTACATCTACTGTTGTGGCTTTGTTGGAGCCAGAAGCTTTATGACGTGTGCAGTCTGATTAGCGTATGTCATGTAAGCAGTATTTATCCAGCACCTACCTTAACTTCCACAGGCCCTTCCGAGCCACAGCTTGATTCCAAGCCATTTAGCTGGAAGCCATGCCTCCCTAGCAAGCACTCGCACACACACCTGTCGTAACATTTCCCTCCTCTCCACTTTTGCTCTTTTACATTCATTATCATCCCTAACAGTTGTTCCCACGTGTCCTACCTTCATCTTTCTCTTAATCCATTTTAATTGCAAGCCCTAACAGAACCCGCAAACTAAGTACATCCTTACATAAATCCTTCCTCATACACACACACACACACACACACACACAATCCCTTCTGGATTCAACAAACAGATGCAATTTGGCTGTTTATCCTTACATCTATTAAAGAATATAAGGAGTAAAAAGAACATCAGCATTGTCTTTTTAAAAAAAGTAGCTCTTGGTTTATGAACCAAACTATCTCAAGTTGCAGTTTGTTCCAGACTTCCCAAAATCCTAGACTTGAATAGAGCAAATGTATTTTGCAGTAATCAAGTCATACTTACAGGATGACGACTCTGGATCCTTGAAAGCATCAACCTTGGAAATAACTTTGAGGTGAAAACTGAACTGAAAAATACCTCTGAGCCCCCAAGTCCACTTCCCCGCTAATGCAAGCAATTATAGCATAATCCCATGCTTGACTTTCAGCAAGCTCCCTCTCAGCAGATGCTGACTTCCATTACTCTCAATTGAACCCTGTTCCACAGCATTGGCCCTCTGATAAGGAACTGTTCAACTGAGAACAAGCTCCCAGTGTGATGCTGTGATAATAGGGCTCACCAAAACAAAGGGGAATAGCAGGTATCTTTCTTGTATACAGGAGGGCAGCGACTGTTCCTGCCAACAGCATGTCTAATTCTGAAGTCCATGTCCTCAACAATTACTGAAAAACTCACACAGACTCAGCAAACTTAAAGAATGATGGCATGTGGAAAACTGGCTTTGCAGGAAAGATTCACTAACTCCAGTCAATGTAGGTTTGGACTAAAGATTGAAAGATAAACTTGGTCAATATCCAAATAACTCTACATAGGGAGAAAAATAGCAATTACTAGGGGCTTATTTTATGAACAAGTAAGATATAATAAGGAACAACAACTGACACTAGAAGTGAAAAAAAGGGGAAACAGGCCTTTTCCAACCATGAAAATAATACATCTTTGGAACAAGGCTCAGGGGCTTCAACATGGCCCAAATCACTTGGCCCCTACAATCAGTATTCTGAGAATCCAGGTACCTTCCTGAGATAAATACCCTTCTAAGGGCTTTGCTCTAGTTTAAAGAGAATGCTGGGCACTAATCTCTTCTGTGCTGTACGCAGGATTTTGTATTTTAAATAGTCTATTCTGTTCTGAAAAATTAATGAACTTTACCATGCCATCAAGTCTAAGTAGTCCCATGCATTAAATCTATAGTGCTATAAAACCATCAACTTTATCTTCCATAACTTCTGTGCACCCGTATTGCTTTGCCAGGTATCTGCCTTCAGGTCAGAAATTTTCTAAAATAAACTTTAATGAAGAGAAACAGACTGCGTGTCCTTTTCTATTTTCAAAATAAAATTATAAAGAAGTTGTTTCAAAACCTCACTGGCACTTGCATGACAATGATAAACCTGATTATTAGCAAAAACAGGCCTCAACAACAATAACAAAACCCCCCCAAACCCTAACCTACCTAAAAACCCCAAACCCAAAACAAAACCCTCAAACGAACAAACCAACCAACCCCTGTTGACTGAATTTAGCAGCTATAGACATTCTGATATGGTTTTTCAAACAACACTTAGAATGAAAATCTTGCAAGAATTCATTTTCTAATCATCTAATTAGCATCAACCCTGAGAGAGCAAGAATGTTATGCAGCATTAACAAATTCATGAGCCTTATGAGTTAAAAAAAGCCATGGAATATAACAGAAAGCTGCATTTCAGAATTTTATATTGTGTGGTATCAGGCTTTTTCAAGGGAACAAATGATCCATTTAATTAAGGGCTTCGCATTCTGCCTCAGACAACATCAAATATTAAAGGGGAAGATGCAATCAGCCCTCTAGTGGGCAAATATGGATTCAAAAAAATGTTAAATCTATATGGATAATGAGAACATCCTATCTGACACTAGCAGCGTTTCAGTATTCTACTTCAGTGAAATTCTGGCTGGGGAGAGGAAAAATAGGGAGTGCTCCTTGCTAAGCATGAATGAAACACTATATGAAGTAATTGATTTCTACCCCCCCTCTGTTTAATATCCATTTTTAATAGTATCCCCACTGTGCTTCTAAACTACCCCTCCTTTGGCTGTATTCTTTCTGACAGCAAGAAACAGAAATGACTGCAGCATTCCCATTGATGGTGTGACACAACATTCCCTGCAGCTGCTTATTATGGTTCTGAAAATTCAGACAGCCTTGGAGAAAATATCCTTAATAACACAGAGGTTCATATCAACAGTTAAATTAGCACTCAGCCATATGCCAGAGATCAAAAGTAACCCCTTCCAATGTTTACAATGCTTTCTTTTTTATAGGAAATAAAGACATTCAGAATATGTTCATGTTAGACAGAGACACTCTCAAAAATCATGAAATGCCAGTAAAAGGTGGATGTATGGAAGTCATCACAATGAGTCATAAACAAAACGATGCTTATAGCAACTAGACTACAACTCTGTGGCACACAGTGCTGCATTTTTTTCCACTTTTCATGGAATGTTCCGCCTCATTCATCAGATGCTGTTAGAAGATAAAATACCATCTGAAATACCAGCTCATAGTAAAATTTGCCTAACATGGTTTAACAGCCTTTTTCAATCAAGTGCTTAATTGATCAGTATCATAGCTGTGAAAACTATGTAAGCTTTTATATGGCTCTGAGAATTCAAATTCCTAGTATCTACTGAGAGTAGTCTTACAAGTTAATTGAGTCCTTGCTCCTTCTGTTAGGCTACAAATACAAGTTAGACCATCAGTTAAAATAAAAATCGGAACAGGAAAGTCTGAAATTAGACTAGATGATACTAGTAAAGTTTAGGCTGTCAGAGTCAGCAGTTCATTCAGCAGGGAAGGAAACGTCCTGCCTTTTCAATGCAGAGTTAATGAAGTAATTAATGCAAGCACAGCATAATAATGGATGCACAATTCATGATAAATGTTAACTTGACCCTCACACTCCCTTCCCCTTTTTTTTTTAAGCTGAAGTTAAACACTTTCTTGTTAATAGTTTGTAAGAGACAAGGAGAGGAAACAAAACTAACATCCAAGATACACAGGTACAGTACACTTGGGCAACACACAAATAAAGCCAGCGAGTATGAAGATGCCAAATAAAGGCACAGGAATTGTACCTCTGCTTCCACACTGGCACACCCAGCATCAGCTCTGATTCAAAAGCCAACGCTGTGCTTCCACTGAACAGTTTACGCTCCTGGTGTGCCTAACAAATCTATCAGCTATGCTCAGAGATCTTGGTCAACTTGCTTCCACTGTCCTTTTGGCACCTGGTGGCTTGGAAAGGCTGCTGAAAAGCATACTCTCATACATGAGTTTATATATGAGGTTAAAATGCTCTCATCATATGGCACTTTCCCAGTTCTCAGATTTGAGGACATTCCTGCATTTTGTCCATTTTTCCAAGTGACCCTAAAAATACCTGACCCAGAATTTTGTGGTATTTCAGCATACTTCACAAGTTGCCTGTCTTCTTTTAATGACTCAATCATTTATGCTTTAAACAAGTGCACCTTAAACCTTTTCTATCACAGTCTCACACTGGGAGCTTTCATGATGTCATTTAATTCCTGAAAGTCTTTTTCACAGTCATTGCTTTCCAGTATACTGCTCCTCCATACTCCTTATCTTTAGATCAGACACATTCAATACTCCAACAAGACACTTCTGTGTGATACTGTTCTCCATTGTGTCCAAACATCTGGACTGCAATCCCTGTCTGCTGAAGACATCATGCTGTCCCAAAAAGCTAAGTCTTCCATGGGACTGTATTAAAAAATATTTTGTCTGAACAATTAACAGCCACATAAAGATCTTTTTTTTTTTTGCAGCTATCCACTAGTATTGCTTTCATCTTTAGGTTATCAGCCATGACTTTCTGTTGACCTCCAAATCATTGAACATCAAGCCTAAGACACTGTCTACCAATTTTTGAAATCAGTCACCATTAGCATAAAAGACCAACAAAACAATAAGACACAATAATGTGCTTCCTAGTATAGTGACAACATGCAAGAGCTAAAATTAAAAGAATACAAAAGGCCCATTAGAAAGCACTAGGAAATTTGGAAACACCAGGATTAAGGTCATCCATGTCACCATAATTTGGCTCTGCAATGCAGGTGCATTCTGATACAGCCTTACTGACTGTTTCCACAGAACTGCACTCTTATTTTGTTGCACAGACAAATACTTAACAACCAGGCATTCAGTTTTCTGTATCACTACTCTGGACAGCCTTAAGCCTCGTCGACTACATGCAATTCCAACCTTCTGAAGCAGATCACTCATCTCCTGTACCCACCACAGAAATAACAGTGCTCCATAAGCACTCATTTACCCCCACAATGTCCCTGTTCTACTTTTTTGTAAGGGAAGGGAATCACAAAAGACACAGTGAAACGCAGTAAGAGAGACATACCCACTAATTCCAAGCGGCCAAACTGGTATCTGTGACCCCTTTTTTTCTTTTAAAGGAGAAGTCCTATTACATATGTTCATATCACTGCCCCTATAGATTTCTATGCTACTCCTATGAGATTCAGCACCTCTGCAAAGCAAAACAGGGTCTGACCTGTAACAGAGGAGTGTTCAATGATAGTGGAAGTTACGGTTTTGGGAACACCAAATGTTAATTATTTCAGGATAACTCTCTATGGTAATTTGAGACAAATGCAAATCCACTGAAGACTGGACCTAACTCATACTTGCACACACTTGAAGGCAAGATTATCTGTACAGTTGTAGGATACCACAGCAACCTGTGGCAGAGGCAAGTGTAATCAACAGTTCTTCACATTAGCAAATGCCTTCCCCAGACCCTCCTCCTCAATTCCACAATCCCATCTCAATGCATTTTACTTTCTTTTAACAGAGCATTCCTTTCAGTTTGAGCAAACATGCAGGTCTCTGACAGGCTGTCATGCACCAATACCTAATCAAGGATGGTATCAAAGTGCATTGACTCAATAGGGCCAAATTAAGGTATAACCAGGTAAGAGGCGCAAAATACAGTTTTCAAGTTCCCTCTCCCCCAAGTTGAAACTGTGATTGTCCTTATTACTCTGCACACACTCATTCCATTGACAAGTAACACGCCAAAATTAGAACTTGTGACTGCAGAACTTCTCCTGTCAATTCCTTGTTTGGCACTATGAGGAACAGCCAAGGAAAGCACGTACATAGGTGCACACACACACAGTTACAGTATCTCCGCAGAAGGGAGAGAACTTACCATGACACAAGGTTTTACCTCATTATACCCTCAGGCATGTGGCCAGTCAAATTGTCATTTTCTAAGCTCCAAGCACTGCATTTATATACAAAGCAAGGCTTATGTGTACAACTGCATGTGTATATGTAAATGTGCATATGCAAGTCTTCCTTAAGAGTTCTGAGATCATAAGCCAATTCCAACCAATCTGGAAAAGGGGTAAGGATCTTAAAAGTCAACACAAGTCTCAAAAATATGCAGCTGAGGAAAGAAGAGAGACTCTCTTGGAGTCCTCTGCTGAGGTTAAGGCTAATAAGCTCACCCTTGATTAGACATCAGAGAATCCACACAGGAGAGAGCCGCTGGAAACCAGGCATCATTAGTTCCGCTGCTCACGGAACTACTTGTTAAAAAAAGCAAACAGAAATTCCAACATGTGGCATCATACTGACACCCACGTTGGTCATCAGCAATCTTAAAATCCATTGCACAGACCTCTGCCACTGCAGCTAAGATGATAAATGACAGCAGCAATACTTTGTCACCTTTTTCTAGCCTAAGAGGGAGATGAGGTTCTTTGCCGGAGGAGGTCACATTCTTATGCTGACATCAAAGACATGGCAAAATTTAGAAACACTGGGTTTAATATTTCTAGGCTTTGGAGGGAATGTGGTCAAACTTTCTGCCTGACACTTCAAACTTAATTCCCCCTCTGCCCTTAGCCTTCTAGCCCAGAGCAATCCCCCCTCCTGCACCAAGGCCCAGACCCAAGCTCTTTATCCACAAGCCTCAGCCTCTTGATGCTCTACTGCAGGGGCTCTTCGCTATGTCATTCCCTCAATTACCTAACACTTATCTCCTCTCTCTCATGCTTCTGTTTGTCTGTCCACATCCCATACTCTTGTCCCTCTCTGTTCTGCCAGTTCTAGGTATCTCATTTTCCAGCACCTAGAAGGTCTGGTTCTTTCCTCCACCCCTCAGTATTGGCTGTTTATAGCTTATTCCTGTACTAGCTTCTCCCATCTCTCCCTTGCAAAGAGGCTCCCCATCACATCCTCTGCTGCATTCCCTAGTTCGTAGGCTCTTGTCTTTTCTCTCCTCCTTTTTGATTCCCATCTCTACCAAGTTTCCAGATTTCCTCAACACAAACAGGTCCAGTCCCTGCTCATACCTCATTCTCATCCCTACCACATTTGAACCAAGCAGGGTCTTGTTACGCCTTGCCTTTGTGCCCATCAGAGGGAGAGGTTACTGTCCACATGGAGCACTAAAGACTCCTTCTGAAGCAGGAGAAACAGCTGACCTTGAAGGAAAAGCATGTCTGACCCTTCACTGCAACTCTAGAAGATGCTTAGAGCTGCAGAAAAAGTAGATATATAGTCCAGCCTCACACAGAAACTGAAAGAAGTTAGGCTGTATTTGTCTCCTCTGTGGAGATGGACTGTCTCCTGAGTGCCTGGAGTCATGCAAGACTCAAGAAGCAGCAAAGAGAATATAACCTTCACATATTTCAGCCACCAAACTATAAATCATTTCAGCGCGTGCTTAACAGATATTTTCCAAGCTTAAAACTGGCCCAATTCAACAATATTGTCACAGACATTTGTGGCTTACAAAACCCATAGCCACTTACATACAAATTGATTCAAAACTATGGGAAGTTCACCAAACAGTAATGCTAAATCCAGTAAAGGGAAGAAAAAACAGGCTTAAAACAAGACATGTCTGAGAAGATGCCTACCTGCTTTGTATTCAAACCACTGGTTCCCCTTGTGTCCATAATTTGTTCCTTAATGAGGGTCTCCATCCAGCTTCCTCATCTCCTACAGCTCAGCTTACTAAAGCTTCTGTATGCTTTGCACCTTAGACTCCTCTCAGAAATTTCCTATGTCCCTCAGCTGATTATTGTCTCCCAACCTCCCTGCTGTTCCCCAGTGAAAGGAAGGAAAACTCAAAACTACAAGTGGAGAAGACAGAGCTTGTTGATTACACTATGACAGTGAGGCCCTTCTCAAGCTGACAACCTTTCTGTTGGTATCTGAGGCTCCAGAGCACAGCTTGCAAAACCATTCCAGACTGAACTGGTATTCATCCTAGATTTTACTTAATACCAGAGCCTAGTAATGCCTATACAGAGTTCTCTTCCTCTTACAAAGAAACTACTTAGAGAGCTGTCAAGAGAAAGAGAATTGATGATCTGGCCCAGAGCGGCTGAACCACTTCATCAGTCTTGTCTACCGATCACATCACAGTCCAGACTTCTAAAAGTGCACAGGTACAGGCACCAAACCAGGACTAAAAAACAATCCTCCTGTACCCAGGACCCATTTGCTACCTTTTCCACAGCACTTTTAAAGCACTGGGAAGAAGCCATGCCTTTCTAGAAGTCTTTTTTTCATCTTTCTAGAAGGACTCTTGATGCTGATCTCATTTTCCAAAGAAAAAGCGAATTCTACAAAGATGTCAGGGAAGATTAACAAAGAGCTGGCGATGAATCCAGACAAGACTGAAGTGACATTACTCATGAAGGAAAATTCTTCACAGGACTAGGTTAGATGCTGTCCCCTGCAGGTGCAAGCATTCTTCCAGCAGCACAACACAAAGTACCAAGGACTCTGCCAGACTAATCCTAAGGACAGATGTCAAAGATCTGCAAAGTATTGCCATCACTAGCAAAAGCCTCAACACCTTTGCTTACAAAAAAAACCCTAGTCACAGAGATTCTTGCACCAGTAATTCACTTCTGGAGATGATACAGCACTAAAACAGGTGCCATTTGCTGGAGCAGGCATCTCTACATTTCGCAGAGAATGGGATGAGCTGGAGTATACACATCAAGGTTTATGCTCCAACACCTTCCAGATCTGCCTGGCTGTGCTGCTCACTCAAGGCCTCACTCTGTCTTCATCACCACACTAGGAGTCAGGAATTAAAATTTATTAGCCACCTGCCCAGACACTTGTGACAAGAGAGCTCAAAGAGCTCAAAAACAAAGCTTAAAAAAATAATTCAATTTGACAAAATAATCCCAGGCTTTAGGAAATTAAAAAAAAAAATAAATAAAATAACACTGATCCATGTAGTACAACTCCTTCCAGGAATCTGAGTACATTATTCTCAGTGTCTCATCATGGGAATCAGTGAAATCATACAAATGTAGTCATCTGAATGCCAAAACCAACTCCTCCTCCAGCCTGAGAAAGAAGCAGGAGTAGATGAACCTCACCCACAGTCTTAATTTAGCGAGCATATGTCTGCATACTGTAGTGACGGGAACTACTGAAATCATCCTCTAGAACACAGAAGGATTCCAGTATTTCTCAAAGTTTTAACTTGTGAGTCTATTCATATGCATATTATAGAGAAATGATTTTACTATGTTTCACAAAGGTTTTCTCTCCCACAGCTCCAAGAGAAGATAGTGCTTTCCTTTATTTTTCCAACAATCACTTTTAGTTCCAAACTTGCACAGGGAATGCATCATCCAAGGAGCAGATCTCAAGGAGGGCAGAAGTACTCCTTGGTGGCAATAAATCTCAATTTAGCTCTCTCACACCTAAGCACTGCTCAGAGGAAGGCCTTCTTGGGGTAGGGGCTAGTGGAAGAGGTACCACACTCTGACTAAACATAAAGAAATCTTAAAACATAAAGATATTACATGTTCCCACATATACAGTCATCTGGTTTTTTCCCTGCAAAGCCTTTTTCATGAGCTGGTACACAGACTATGCGTGTTCATAAAGTTTCTGCTGAGTCACTCCACCTGGTCTTGGGCATTTTTTTTTCAAACTTACAAGTAAACAAGGAGCTATAATTAAAGCCCTGGTTCAGCTTTAATTCTAGTGTTCACTGCCAATTGTGTCCCCTGTAAATACATATTTAACAACCTAATTAGCAACCCAAACTGTAAGCAGCTTGAGTAGTGTGGAACTGTGGCTATGGCCCAAAATAAATGGTGGGATTACAAACAGCGAGCTACCTACCTAACACTCCCACCCTTCCTCACCATACGCTGATTATATTTTCAAAGCAGAAGAACTGGGACATTGGCTAAAGTAAAAAGGCTAGTTTTGTACCCATTTAGCTCTAGTTTTGTATCCATTTAACTATTTTGATTAAAAAACATAAGTGTTAAAAAAATGCTATAGCTAAAAGTGAAAAAATGCCTGAGGTGGGTGCACAGATTCTGTGTAGATGCCTTCATATTCCTATGGCTTAATTCCAGAAAGATAACTAAATCTGTACCAAAACAAAGAGCATCTAGGATGATAAAAGAAAAACTGTTTGATATGGGATGCTGGAAAGTGGGAAGTCCTAGGGATCATCTTCTATTTCTGTTTCAATTTGGCTACTACTTCGCCTCTTATTTATCTTAATCATCTGTCAGAAACACTTATCACTGAATCACCCATAAGTGCTCCTGCTTCCCGCCTAAGACAGACCATCACATTTACTCCCTACCACTTTCTGCTCTGTCTGGTTCCCACCTTTTCTGAAACACCCAGACTGCTTATCCTCTGGTTCAAGTATTCCCTCCTACCTTATCTCTCTCCTCACCATCACTCGTAAACTCAAGCCACATCCCTCCAAGCTCAGAAACCCAACCTCAGGGCTCAGAACTCTCCTCCCTCTTATCTGATACACTTAGGGTTCATAAACACCCTTATATTTAATTCAGAAACACATTTTTTTCCCCCTTGTTTTCTTTGGAATGCTGAGATAGGAGATCACATGGGGCAATACACACAGGAGCAGACACTATCACCACAGTTCACTTCCTGCTCTGTGTGTCTCCAGTTTGTAGTCTTTACACTGGACAGACTGAGTTTTAACTGGGGAGCACCCAGGTATACCAGGGCTCCCAGCTACACCAGAAGTGCTCCAGCTGTACTAGACAGCACTGCACTCTGCAGTACAGGAGCCAAACTACCTGGCTGTGCCATCAGGGATACAGTTTAGCCTCCATAACATCCTGGTCATTAACTAACCTAGTAACATCAACAACTACATATTCAGGAAATCAAGACTGTCCACTAAAAGGAAATCCTTAGTTTTGGGTTAACCCATCGGCTTGTAAATATTCCTGACCAGAAAGAAAACTCAACTCCTTCTGCAGCTCAAAGATTCTCTACTTGGGGACCCTCTAGGTACAAGGCAGAGATTTCTTCCCCATGTAACCCTCTGAAGGGTTAAGTACACCCCCATCCCCAGCAACTCCCCCAGCCCCTTCAGTGAGGGTGGTTGTCCCTTTCTTGGACAGGTCTGGAACCACCTGCAGGGCTGCCTGGGAGCCAGGGGGTAGCGCAGAGACAATCATGGGAGCTGAGATGGGAAAGGTTTGGGCAGAGGCGGCTGTGGTCACCAGAGAACCTGACGGGGAAGTTATCACCAGACCAGGACCTGCAAACAAAGGAAGGTGGAGGAAGTCAGTTATTACATCTCCAATTATGCCCAACCTCCTTATCCCACAGAAGCACCCACTTTTGACTACAACACAAACACAAGGGTAACTTCCCCTCCCAAAGCTCCACTGCTGCAACTCAAACTTCCATAAAGACGTGGATGTATGGAGTGCCTAGGGATTCAAAGTAAAACCACACCAAGACAGTCCACATCATCAATAAGGCTAGGAATAACATACAGGCCAATAAAACTTCTCCAGGACCTCTTTTTTCCCCATCCCACATCCCCCTTGGCATGCTGCCAAAGCCTTTGGAGCGCCCTACCTGCTGTCATGAGCCCAGCAGACTGCACTGGTACCACGGTGATGTTCTGAGTCACAGGGGCTTGGCTGTGTGGTGTCAGCTGCTCTGGCTTGGTGTCCGAGTCCATGGAGATACCAGTGGGCAGGGCCACAGAGGTGGGGACTGTCAGCAAGGCAGGGTAGTGGGGGGGAGCCAGGCTGCAGCCCTTCTCTGTGGGCAATAGCTGCTCCTTCATCTTGTTAATGAACATGGTGTTCTCAATCTACACGGGGGGAAGGACAGGTTTTAGCATATCCTGGGACAGCTTTCCCCAGCATTTGGCTGAGCAAGAAGTACAACAGAAACACTAATTGTTCATAAACTTCTAACAGGAAGCAAGACCAACGTAACAGGTTGGAAGATCTTACCTGTCCCGAGACGGTGGGCACTGCTGGCCAGAAGTACGGGGAGGAGTTGAAATGAGATTCTTCCATCCTAGCTGGGCACAGGGGGCAGGAAGAAGGGGGAAGGGAAGAGGAATGAAGGACAAGGAAGACAGACAGACACACACACACAAAAAACCCATTAAACCCAAAGAGACTCCAACATGGAACTGACTCAGTCTAATGCTGTGACAGTTCCTTAATTTCCCCAGTCTTTCTTGAGCAACTTCTCCCCGGTTTTGAGCTATCTTCCCAAATGAAAACTTTATTTTCAGGGGAAAAAGGTGCCTATTTTTCCCATGGGCTTGGGTCCACCTGAAATGCCCACTTGCCCGGTAGTCCTCCATGCAAAAAACAGGACTGACTAGAAACCCAGAACACATCCAAATTTTCCCAGTTGTTATCCACCCAAGTACATGGAATAAATTAAGTCTGTGCATCACATTAGCATTATGTTACACAGGAAGAAAGACAGGCAGAGAGAGGGAAACAGACTTGCCTAAGTTAACAAGACAGCCACAGCAGACCAAGAAGTCAAACTCAGGGCTCCTAACTTCTTGCTGCCCACCCCAGCCCCACTCTTGAAAGAAACAGAAAAATATCATTCAATATTCCTGCTCTCCTCCAGTGAGACTAAGCAGTAGGAAAACAGCCTGATTCCCCTGCTCCTGAGATACCCTATTTCCAAGTGAGACCATGTCTCAGCTCTCCACTGCGCATTTCCTTACCATCTTTGGGACAAGATTCTATAGGACTCTGTCCCCAGCCAAGTGCCCACTGCTCCATCTCAACTCTCCCTGCATTCAGAGGACCAGTCGGACACCAAAAGAGTCTCCTGAGCACTGAAGCATAATCTCTTTGGGAATACCTGACAGAAGAAGCACTTTCCTTTCTAATCCTTACATTCCTCTGTGTAATACCATTAGTGGACAAAGTTTGTTACACTTGCAAACACACTACTCAAAACCTGAAGAAATTAACAAAAGAATATTTTCTGAAATAGAAGATACATCTATTCCTAAACAAATATGGCAAAAGTGGTAGGTAAAAACTATGCTCAGAATACATATGGCAGAGAGTGCAATCACCGTAGGTTTTTCATGCAGCTACCTGCAAACTGCCCCACTCCTATTTCTGTTATGGTCTGTCAGTGGTCTAATAGTTAAACAACATTGTTTCTGAAAAGTTTATCTCAATCATCAGCATGAAACACTTACATTACAGAAGTATATCAGGACAGAATAAATACATGTGGAATTGCTGTGTGTGAGCCAAAATGCAAAGATAATTTTCCTCTATGTGGAGAAGCAATATTCAAATGAACCAAATTACCCAATAATTTTGTTTTTATGAATTGCTCATGCAACAGCAAGGCCAAGTACTCCTGCCTCACTCACTGCAAATCAACCAATAAACACACTTAAGGATAAATTATTTACCTTACGTTGGTGGCATGCAGTCAGACTGCTCACTGCCTGACTGAATTACTCTGGATTTACACTACTGTGATTCAATCAGAGGCTGATGGGGCAAGACTCTTTACCTTCCTTCCTCTGCTTTCTTTTCTGAGCAAAATTAATTATTAAGTTCACTGCCCACAGTACAGCCCTATGCATTTAGTGCCTAATTACATGGCTTTTTTATTCCACAGGATGGGCACATATGAGGAGATAACACATCCTTGGCAATTGAGCACCACCTGAACCCAGAGGGGCATTTTGTTTGGAATTTCCAGGTTTGGAGTTTTTTGCTTAGGTTTGGTTTTATTTGTAAAATAAATAAGCCCTTATTTGCTTAGCTTCCACGTCAAAAACACTGAAGTGAACCTGACTCTCCAAAAACATATAAAGTCTCATATAATAATCAGATACATTTTCCACAGAAACTTTGTAATAGTTCAAAACTCCCTTGGAGACAACTGCAAACTTCAGGAGTTAAACAGAAAGATGCCAATTTAAGCAAAAAAAAAAAAAAAACCACCAAAAAACTCTCACAAGAGCTTTCTTATTTAAAAATAATGAAAGGCAAGTCCATTTTCAGATTCCAAAATCCAGCCTAGAAGAGGCCAGGGCACTCAGTGGCTGCTTGTCTCCATCTTGTCTTCCATCAGAACTTCACAGAGAATATAACTTTTGTTTGCTCAGTTTGCAAAGTGTGCAAGTCAAATACAGCTCTTACTGATTCTTCAAAGGATGGCTACGCTGATTTCATTAGACTCCCTCAGAATCCACCTCCCCATCCAAAAATCTTCATGCTTGAGCATATTATCTATCAGGCCTCAAACTTCTGGCTTGAAAGGCTGAAGTGTGATGGAGTTATAAGAATGTGGAGGAAAAGGAGAAATGGTGTAAAAGTTGAAGCTTTCATGCAATTTCACTAGCAAGCCAGTCTTCCAAAGGCAGAAAACAAAGGTAAGATTCCTCCACCAACCTACCGTCCTAGTGCCCAGAGCTGTCCCTCCCCTACCCCATTTTTAGGCTAAAAGAGTATTTTGAAAACATGCACCCCTATTGGCAGCCCCCACTTAGACGCTGCTCACACTTACTTTACCAGAACTCTGCACGTAACCCTTCCAATTGCTCTATAACTACCAGACATGGGCTGGAGCTTCAACCCTGTACCACAGCACGCTCCCACTGCAGGGCCTTCATCATCCCAGCTTCCACAAACAGGCCAGAGATGGGACCTTCTTCCTATTCACCAGTCTAGTATCAGACAGATGTCAACGTACCCTCCTGATATAAACCAAAAACACTTTCTATGTACAGACCACAAATGTACATGCACCAAATAAACAACCGAGTGAACCAGAGAACTCACAAGGGACAAGGGATCTGGAGTTTAGATCTCACAGAGTACTTCACAGAATCACATACTTAACGTGCTGGATTTATACTTCTTGGCAGGTCACCACTTTAATCATAAACAGACAGATAAAAGCACGTGCAAGTATACGCTGAGGTAGAGGCTGTATTTCTGGAAGGCACAATCAAGGTTGGATACGCAGGTATTTAATCAGAGGTTGACTTTTAACACGAGTTTCTTTATTCTCCAGATGCCTGGCTTTTATCTCCTATTCGGCACGGAGTTTTCAGTCAACAAAAAGCCCTGAGTGTAACGCTTGGGAGCAATTTAGACTGTTATTTTATGTCTGCCCAAGATCTTTGTTCAGTGACAAGGAGCTTTTAGGCTTAATTACTGCAAAATACTGAGGATGCTGAAAGCCACACAGGCTGTTAGATCAAAAGAAAAAATGTTTCCATGGAAGTCATAAGCACCGAAAAGTTCAAATGCTGTTACACCTTTAGAACAAGCACATTTGAACACTCATCGGGAATATCCCAAATGAACCGGACAGAGTCCTGGATCCCAAACCTGCACGCTAGAGACAGAACTTTGGTGCCGTTCCCTGACACTGTAGCCTCCACCCCGACGGAGCGAGCCTCTGTTGGAACAGGTGCCTGGCAGAGAGCATACCCTGCGCCTCAGCTCCTTCCAGGCGCTCAATCCCTTCTCCCGCACCCTGGAGCTCAAACGCCTTCACGCCCCCAACTCCGGGACCCGCGGCCCATCCCATCTCCTCCCACACCGCGGCAGCCCCCGGGGCAGGGGCGGGGGTCACTCACGCAGCTCCGAGAGCTCCTTACCCCTCTCACTCTCCCTCCTCTTGCATTTCTCCTCCTTCCAGGGCCGGCTCTGCAAATAAACCGCCTCGGTTACCGGGGCGCCCGGGGCCCCGCATGGCAGCGGGCGGCGCTCCGCGGGGCC